AACAACAACAACAACCAAAAGACGTGTATATATGTTCAAAGTTGATGAATTTTCACAAACAGGACATACACAGGTCAAGAAGCAGATGACCAGGACCCCAGAAGCCTCCCTGGCTCCCTCCTCCACTCACTAACCCCTTACACCTCAAGAATGACCACTGTCCTAATACCATTGACTAATTTTGCCTGTTTTTGTACTTTATGTATGAAGAATTACACAATATGCCCTTTTTGGGAGGTATCTGGCTTCTTCAGACATATTTGAGATAATTGAATGGTTCCATGTTCAGTGGTGTTCATAGCACTGTCGGAGGATTTCTCAACTTCGGTACTATTGGCATCTGGGGGCTAATATTTCATTGTTGGTGCTGTCTTGTGCACTGTAGGAGGTTTAGCAGCGTCCGTGGCCTCTATACACTACCTACATGCCATTGGCACTCTCCTGCCCCATTTATGACAACCAAAAATGTCTCCGGACCACAACTGATGTATCCATTCTACCTTTGACGGGCATTTGGGTCATTTCCGGTTTGAGGCTGTTAGTGTAGCGGTGAGCATCCTGATACCTGCCTCCTGATCAGTGTACGTATGCGTTTCTGTTGGGGAAATACCTACCAGTGGAATTGCTGGGCCATAGGGTATATGCACGTTTTAGGAGATAATGCTAAACAATATGGCACAGTGGTTAAAGCGCTTGGCTGCTAACTGAAAAGTCATACCCACAAGCTGCTCTGCTGAAGAGAGATGTGGCAGTCTGCTTCCATAAAGATTTGCAGCCTTCGTAACTGTATGGAGCAGTTCTGCCCCGTCCTGCAGGGTCACTGTGATTCAGACTCAACTCACTGGTGGTGGGTGGTGCTGTCTTGATTGATACTCCAGCTCAGGAAGCTATATATGAGAGCTCCATTTGTTCCATTCTGGTGACGGAATGGCAGGATTTAATTTCCCTGATGACTAATAAATTTGTCCTCATTTTTTTATGTATACTGGCTATTTTTATTTATTTAATTTATTTTTTATTATTGTGATTTGGGTGAAGAATTACAGAGCAAATTCACTTTCCATACAGCAGTTCACATATACTTTGTCTCATGACATGGACCACAATTTACCACAATGCAACAGCTCCACTCCCACTTCCTCCTGATAGTTACCTCTTCCCTGTGTCCATCCCTCCATGCACTCCTGCCCCCTGAGCTCTCTCCCTGTGCATAAGCAGCCCTTCTTTCTCCCATGATTGTTCTCTCCAAGGAGTATATCTACCTCAGGTAAATGTTCAACTCATATGCCT